GGACAAGGGCAAACACCAGCAAATTTGAATACATTTTCTGGACAAAGCACATACACGATATATACACACATATAATAATAATAATGAAACCTTCACTATACTATTTCAGACAGGTTGCACTACAACACCATCAGAACTCTATCATCTGCTTATCAAGTGGTATCCTATCTCCTGGTTCACCACCTGATACTATCAACCTCCTCAAGTGGATCAAGTCTTAAAATACAATGTTGCACTATCAGCAAGAGAATATATATATATATATATATATATATATATATATATATATATATATATATATATATATATAACTGAAAACTCACACCCCAGAAGTGACTCGAACCCATACTCCCAGGAGCAACGCAACTGGTATGTACAAGACGCCTTAATCCACTTGACCATCACGACCGGACATAATGAGGTGATAGCCTCATTCCATTCAGGACCATTCAGGCTTGTTTGCATTTGTGTTCCTCACGTGTGCCCCAAAGAATGAGGTGATTTGGTAAAATGCTATGCCCAAGATTACTATCCGAGTGCCGGCCGTGAGGTGGTTCAAATAGCCTCGGCTATCACCTCATTATGTCCGGTCGTGATGGTCAAGTGGATTAAGGCGTCTTGTACATACCAGTTGTGTTGCTCCTGGGAGTATGGGTTCGAGTCACTTCTGGGGTGTGAGTTTTCAGTTGCATATTGTCCTGGGGACCATTCAGGCTTGTTCGCATTTGTGTTCCTCACGTGAGCCCCAAAGAATGAGGTGATTTGGTAAAATGCTATGCCCAAGATTACTATCCGAGTGCCGGCGGTGGGGTGGTTCAAATAGCCTCGGCTATCACCTCATTATGTCCGGTCGTGATGGTCAAGTGGATTAAGGCGTCTTGTACATACCAGTTGCGTTGCTCCTGGGAGTATGGGTTCGAGTCACTTCTGGGGTGTGAGTTTTCAGTTGCATATTGTCCTGGGGACCATTCAGGCTTGTTCGCATATATATATATATATATATATATATATATATATATATATATATATATATATATATATATATATATATATATATATATATATATAAACATGTACCAGGAAAATCAGCATATAAATGCAATAACATATATCAGTATAAATGTTCCTTGATACACAACAATGATCAATCGATCACCCTATCAGTCCTAGAACACATACAACTGTAGGTAATTCAGCCTACGACTGTAACTCTATACTTCAGTACGAACACCTTGGTACAAAAATGGCAAACTATCACTTGCCTTTCACTGCGACTTATACGCTAAAGCCAAACACTCTATCAACTCCCTACAAGTGATCATTTAGAACTTCCCTTCCACATCTGGAAGTTCACTACCCTGATATCTTCAGGTTCTTCCGGGCTTAACTACCAGGATCCTCTTGTGGGTATTCAATATTTTTTTTTGTTCCATTGTCTGCGGAGATATAGAGGTTGTCTGGTTTGCCGACTCTTGAACACGCAACATATAATTGTCCATGTGAGAAGCAAATCGTGTCAATATGTAAACCACACAATTCTAAAGATGGGCGCTGAGCTTTGTTGTTGGTGATTGTCAATCAAATTTGAAATTACAATTTCTTAAATTATAAATGGCATATCAGTGGGAATCATATGAATGCAAGGAATGAGGACCTTTCACCTTTGAAAGGTCCTGTCAAGATTGTTGCTTCTACGACGTCGCTGATTATTGTTTTTACTGCAAGGCGCGTGGCGTTGCAAAGTTTTGGCTAGTTGAAATTTCGCAACATGATAATTGGCAAGCCGATTTTCAATTGCCGTACGTGTGATGGTATCCAATACAGATCGAGTGAATTTAAAAATTATGTTGGATAATTAACCGCTTCATCGTCTTCCTCAACAGTGTCGACGGACTTATATGTGACTGCCTTGCTTTGGATGTTAGACTGAATAATATTGTTAAATTCTTAGACGTTTTTGTTCTTGGCCGCAAGAACAGCTCGTTCAATCAGCCAATCGTGATTTATATAATTGGTTTGAATATCGGGAAATACTTTTTCAAGCAATTCTTCTTTTGACGTCACTAAATTGTAGAAGTTACGAGGCAATGAAATTCGTCCTGAGGTCAGATCAACCAGCACATTTCTGTTCCCAATTTCCAGAAATTGATGTGAAAATATTTAGCAGATGGATGCTTTTGCAGCTGGACAGGCATATTTGTAGTTAATTTTAACGTCTTTAAGTGGCGTCACAAAGTAGAGTATTGCAGGAAAGCATTTATTTCGTCTTCTGATGACCATCGAGGAATTGCAGGTAATGTTTGCTTAAAATCTCCTGCAAGCAATATTAATGCGTTCCCAAATGGTCTGATGTTTCCAACCAAATCTTGCAATGATCGATCAAGAGCTTGAGCGATTTTTTGTGGGCCATTGTGCATTCATCCCAAACAATAAGTTTGCATTTCTGCAATACTTTGGAAAGCACGAAAGTATTGCAGTATTACCAAAGAAATACGGATGCTTTGGGAATGTTGTACGGGGGAGTTTCAATGAACTGCATGTTCAATGGCATTTTCAAAGCCGAAGTAGCAGTTCTTCCACCTGGTAGCAATGTCGCAGCTAATTCCGGACGATGCAAGAGCTAAGGTTATGCCAATTCGGATTGAAATGCGGCCAGCATCAATCTAATTAGGAAGGTTTTACCAGTTCCTCCTGGCGCATCTAAGAAGAAGACATCTTAAGAAGGAAGGTGAAACGCCATGCAACCTCTGAAGAGACAACTATCACAACACCTGTACCCCCTATTAGACTATTTTACAGGAACTTCTTTCCACAGTTCATAAAACAGAGGAAAGGGTCCTGAAAGATATTGTTAATAGAAACGTTATCCCTACAGACAAAAATCAGAAGATACAATTGACGATTTACTATAAAACCAAGAAAACTGCCAACCTACTCATGAGAAACTCTCCAGACATAAAGCAGAAAGCTTTGAAATAGACCAATGTCGTCTATGCCTTCAAATGCCCACTTGGGGACTGTAAGCCTCAAAGAACTCAGTACATAGGCAAGACAACAACATCTCTTTTCAGTCGATTAATGATACATAAGCAACAGGGCTCCATTAAGGAACATATAATCTCTTCCTACAACCAGACCATCTCCAGAGAAGTCTTGACAAAAAACACGGAAATCATTGATAGATACAGCGATAGCATGCAGCTTGATATATGCGAGGCACTATATATTAAGAAGTCAACACCAGCAATCAACAGCCAATTAATGCACAACTATATTCTATCCACTTCAGGACTCTACACCAATATAGAAGCATCAAGAAATATGGGCCAATAGGCTCTTTGCATTTACTTCCATTCTTCCCCTTTAACTTTACCCAATATCACCCAATGTTTCGTGTTCTATCTTGTGTTGAAAGTTTGTTTTCACCTTATCTAAAACTGTTGTAACATATCACCTCACCCAAATGCAGGTATATAAAATGAAAAGCCATTTGAATTATAGCATAGTTAGAAATCTGTCTTATTGTTTGCAGGTTATAGTTGTGTGTATGTAAACTAAAGTCTTTGAAAATGTAATAAGTTATTACGAAACGCGTTCAAGTGTAGCGTCAGACTAGAAATAAAAATGAATTTTGGAGAACTGATTTTTCAATTACCATCGACAGTGAAAAGAACCATAAGAAATATTGAGAAAATTCGTGTTAGAATTATTAATCTTTTTCGGTCATATTTAATAATATATATATATATATATATATATATATATATATATATATATATATATATATATATATATATATATATATATATATATATATATATATATATATATATATATATATATATATATATATATATATATATATATAGATTGATTACTTTCTTGTTTAAGTCTTCTATCCCTCTGACTAGTGCTCTTACATCTCATCTCAGTTTAATTGGAAGAAGAGTTCTTCAAAAATCATTTTCGTTCGAGGTGAAGAAAAATAAATAAATAACTGTAGAATGTAGTACACTTATTACAAAATTACACAACGTTACAAACCTACATGGTTCATTCTCAAGCGATGTGACAGTACAGGGCATATTGTATTTATACCATAATGGGGTCAAGTGTAGACAAATGGATCGAATAATGGGGTTTATAGGGGTATATAAATGGATTAAGAAACAGGCATAAATTAGAAAAGAATAGAATAAGGCGAAATAGCAGCACTATTTCATCCTGCTGCCAAACTGGAATTTTTTTCGTCTTTCCCTGACTACTACTGAAGCCCAGAGGAATTACTGTACAGTCCAGGTAAATGGAATGTTTATTTCCACGGAGGTATGAATGACAATTAATATGACGTGGTCGTGGGTCAGTAGTTCCTCTGGGCTTCAGTAGTAGTTAGGGAATGTCGAAAAAAATCCAGTTTGCAGCAAGATGCTGCTTCTAGAAACTTTCTTTTTTTAAGACTGCTTATAGCCCAGTCAATAGAGCGACAGCCTCATATGTGTGGGGTTAAAGGTTCAAGACCCGTTCAGTCCAGGTGAATGGAACTCCGATTTGATTTCAAATTATGAAAATCACGGGGGGGGGCACTTTAGATCCCTATTTTTCTTAAGAATGGCACTTGGGACGACTCCGACTGGCCCACGGCACCATGATTTGTGTGTAAGTTGGGTGAGGCTAGCCCCAAGCATCTGATATCCTACTTTAGACAAACAGACATTCTGTTTTATTGATAAACGTATATACGCAAATTTCCAATTAAGGCCTTTAATCCTGTATCTAAATCGTTGACATATATGGTAAACAACAAACGTCCCAAAACACAGACCTTGGCCACTACATTGCCCACTTAAGTTTCACTCATTTAGTCCTAATATATTATTTTTTTTCAAATAGGCTTCCTTAAACCGACTTAAGATACCTCCTCTCCCAACCCATATCACGTGCCTCTATCTTTGTAATCAATTTTTTCTAGGGAAGACAAACACCAATTATGTTTGGCCTGTTTACTTGATAACAACTATTTAAGGGTTACACGTTATACATTAATTTTTAACGGTTATACATTATTTTTTCAGGTTGTGTATTACTTTGGGCAAGTTATATATTATTTGTTACATATTATGCATTATTAACTAAAAGTTATACATTACTTGCTACTAGTCATACATGACGTCATTCAATTTATGAATTATTTGCAACACGTTACACATTATTAGGTTGAAGTTATTAAATATTAGCTTCAAGTTATACATATTTGATTCAAGTTATACATTTTTTATTTAGGTTATAAAATTTTTATTTAAGATATGCATTTTTTCTGTCATGGTATACATTATTTATATCAACGTGAAGCAGTGTGGTCAGATGCAGGTGGTTGCACAAGTGTAAGTAATACACTTGTACTACTATATAAGTACAATTGTCCACCCAGGGGTAGATAATGGTTCTAGGGGAGGATAGTAGTATCGGATAGGTAGATGAATTTAAATTGAAATACGTTTATTGTGGTAAAATACACGCAAAGGGATGAGGAAGCTCAAGTTATTCTTACCCCGTTCAGTACAACGTGTTCATACATATATAGACACATCACAAACAATAAACATATTACCGAACATTTTGAGTGGGATAGGTACTGGGAGTATCTAGTGGTCCATGCCACATAACTAGGAGGTATGCCGCACCAATTGTTTCCAGGTGAGTGGTAGCCTAAGTGGGTGGAGGAGCGAGGTCAGTAGGGTGGGAGCTTAATGCAGTGGTTGGTGGACTTTGTATGGTAGAGTGGGGGCAGTCAGAGGGTATAACACAGTAAGGATAGGCGGGGTCCGTGTTAAATACCTTGGATCCTGTGCAGGTCTCGATGGTGGCTGGCTGACCGACGGTGCGACAGTTGAAGAACTGCGGGTCACACAATGTGCATTTGGGGAATAATCCCACTACCGTGCACATCATGGAGTCCTGACAAATTGGAGCTGGGGTGGTACTTCCCTCGTGGACGTCCGGATCATCAGGACACAGTATGTTACAAGGAGCGCCGGCCACACAGCGACCCGTGCTAACGTCAAAGTTAGAACCTGAAGAGCAGCTTAGAAGGTCTTCGTCCGTGGCTAACCCTATTCTTAAACACAAATAGTATTTGGTGCAGTCGTAGGGGTGAGGAATCTCCGCCCCTTTGGTATGGCAGTAGGCAACGCACAGGTCATTGCAGCACACATTCTCATTATCGCTACAGCCCTGTCTTATTCCATCAAAGTAGGGCGCACTCACAGTGCATTCCATAGGGCCTAAAAGGTTCTCTGCCACACAAACGTAATAGTTGCTGCAATTATTCGGGTTAAAAATTTGCTGAAGGTCATATTCACACTGTTGAGGGCAATTTGGAATTACGCAGGTAGGGTAGCAAGGTGCCACCATATTAACACAATCTGGATTTCTTCCGGCAGGGTTGAAGTATTGACCAGCTGGGCAAGCATGAGGAGTGTCCGAAGGCGAATTATCCTCCACCAAACAGTAGTAATATTGAGTACAGTTGAGAGGATCAGCTACCTTACGCGTAGTAGTAGGTTTGGCCGGGCATTCTGGCTTACAGACTCCAGCAGCGAGGCCGCAGAGCAGCGCCGCCACCCACGCCACCTGCAGCAGACACCCGCCAGGTTAATGTTCCTGCTGAAACTACCACTGATAAAAGAATATAAAAACAGTTCAACATTACTTACCTGTATTATAATAACAATCACAAACAAATTTGGCAACACTCAGTGAGAGATATTTTTGTTATTGATTTCAGAATTGTTTTTGTCAGCATTGTTGTTGTTGTAATCAGTGTTATTATTGTTGTCAATGTTGATATTGTTGTCAGCATTGCAATTGTTGTCAGCATTGTAACTGTTGTCACTGTTGATATTGTTGACAGTGTTGGTATTGTTGACAGTGTTGTACTCATGTAGTTGCGCTTGCGAGGGTTGAACTCTGGCTCTTTGGTCCCGTCTCTCAACTGTCAATCAACTGGTGTACAGATTTCTGAGCCTACTGGGCTCTATCATATCTACACATGAAACTGTGTATGGAGTCAGCCTCCACCACATCACTACTTAATGCATTCCATTTGTTAACTACTCTGACATTGAAAACAATTTTTTCTAATGTTTCTGTGGCTCATCTGGGTACTAAGTTTCCACCTGTGTCCCGGCCCCTTGTTCGTGTTCCACCCGTGCTAAAGGGTTTATCTTTGTCCACCCTGTCAATTCCCCGGAGAATTTTGCAGGTGGTTATCATGTCTCCCCTTAGTCTTCTGTCTTCCAGGGACGTGAGGTTCATCTCATTTAGCCTTTCCTCGTAGCTCATACCTCTCAGTTCCGGAACGAGTCTGGTGGCGTACCTCAGCACTATTGTTGTCAGTGCCGGTATTGTTGTCAGTGTTGTTATAATTATCAGTGTTGTATTGTTGTTAGTGTTGGTATTGTTATAAGTATTTATATTGTTGACAGTGTTGTTGTAAACAGCGTTGGTACTTTTGTCAGTGTTGGTATTCTTGAAAGTATTTTTATTGACAGTGCTGGTATCGTTGAAAGTGTTGGTATCGTTGAAAGTGTTGGTATTGTTGACAGTGTTGGTATTGTTGACAGTGTTGGTATCGTTGAAAGTGTTGGTATCGTTGAAAGTGTTGGTATTGTTGACAGTGTTGGTATCGTTGACAGTGTTGGTATCGTTGAAAGTGTTGTTATTTTTTACAGTGTTGGTATTGTTGACAGTGTTGGTATCGTTGAAAGTGTTGGTATCGTTGAAAGTGTTGGTATTGTTGACAGTGTTGGTATTGTTGACAGTGTTGGAATTGTTGACAGTGTTGGTATTGTTGACAGTGTTGGTATCGTTGAAAGTGTTGGTATTGTTGACAATGTTGGTATTGTTGACAGTGTTGGAATTGTTGACAGTGTTGGTATTGTTGACAGTGTTGGTATTATTGACAGTGTTGATGTTAGTGAGAGTATTAGTATTGTTGACAGTGTTGGTATTGTTAACAGTGTTGGTATTGTTGACAGTGTTGGTATTGTTGACAGTGTTGGAATTGTTGACAGTGTTGGTATTTTTGACAGTGTTGATGTTAGTGACAGTATTAGTATTGTTGACAGTGTTGGTATTGTTGACAGTGTTGGTATCGTTGAAAGTGTTGGTATTGTTGACAATGTTGGTATTGTTGACAGTGTTGGAATTGTTGACAGTGTTGGTATTGTTGACAGTGTTGGTATTATTGACAGTGTTGATGTTAGTGACAGTATTAGTATTGTTGACAGTGTTGGTATTGATGACAGTGTTGGTATTGTTGATAGTGTTGGTATCGTTGAAAGTGTTGGTATCATTGAAAGTGTTGGTATTGTTGACAGTGTTGGTATCGTTGACAGTGTTGTTATTTTTTACAGTGTTGGTATTGTTGACAGTGTTGGTATCGTTGAAAGTGTTGTTATATTTTACAGTGTTGGTATTGTTGACAGTTTTGGTATCGTTGAAAGTGTTGGTATGGTTGAAAGTGTTGGTATTGTTGACAGTGTTGGTATTGTTGACAGTGTTGGAATTGTTGACAGTGTTGGTATTGTTGAAAGTGTTGGTATCGTTGAAAGTGTTGGTATTGTTGACAGTGTTGGTATTGTTGACAGTGTTGGTATCGTTGAAAGTGTTGGTATCGTTGAAAGTGTTGGTATTGTTGACAGTGTTGGTATCGTTGACAGTGTTGGTATCGTTGAAAGTGTTGTTATTTTTTACAGTGTTGGTATTGTTGACAGTGTTGGTATCGTTGAAAGTGTTGGTATCGTTGAAAGTGTTGGTATTGTTGACAGTGTTGGTATTGTTGACAGTGTTGGAATTGTTGACAGTGTTGGTATTGTTGACAGTGTTGGTATCGTTGAAAGTGTTGGTATTGTTGACAATGTTGGTATTGTTGACAGTGTTGGAATTGTTGACAGTGTTGGTATTGTTGACAGTGTTGGTATTATTGACAGTGTTGATGTTAGTGAGAGTATTAGTATTGTTGACAGTGTTGGTATTGTTAACAGTGTTGGTATTGTTGACAGTGTTGGTATTGTTGACAGTGTTGGAATTGTTGACAGTGTTGGTATTTTTGACAGTGTTGATGTTAGTGACAGTATTAGTATTGTTGACAGTGTTGGTATTGTTGACAGTGTTGGTATCGTTGAAAGTGTTGGTATTGTTGACAATGTTGGTATTGTTGACAGTGTTGGAATTGTTGACAGTGTTGGTATTGTTGACAGTGTTGGTATTATTGACAGTGTTGATGTTAGTGACAGTATTAGTATTGTTGACAGTGTTGGTATTGATGACAGTGTTGGTATTGTTGATAGTGTTGGTATCGTTGAAAGTGTTGGTATCATTGAAAGTGTTGGTATTGTTGACAGTGTTGGTATCGTTGACAGTGTTGTTATTTTTTACAGTGTTGGTATTGTTGACAGTGTTGGTATCGTTGAAAGTGTTGTTATATTTTACAGTGTTGGTATTGTTGACAGTTTTGGTATCGTTGAAAGTGTTGGTATGGTTGAAAGTGTTGGTATTGTTGACAGTGTTGGTATTGTTGACAGTGTTGGAATTGTTGACAGTGTTGGTATTGTTGGCAGTGTTGGTATCGTTGAAAGTGTTGGTATTGTTGACAGTGTTGGTATTGTTGACAGTGTTGGAATTGTTGAGAGTGTTGGTATTGTTGACAGTGTTGGTATTATTAACAGTGTTGATGTTAGTGAGAGTATTAGTATTGTTGACAGTTGTCGGGAAACCGACACACACAAACACACATATAACACAGTCTCCCTTAGTCTGTAATCCCTTCAGGATGGAAAATGGGAGACTCCGTGACGTCATCGACTCCGTGACGTCATGGATGTCATCGATATTTACATTATGAAACATTGTCAATAGACTAGTTTAGTATTTAGAAGTAACAAAAAAGTAATCAATAAGACTGAATATAATTATTAACACCGTATTGTAGCTAGGTTCCCTTGTTAATGTAAAATTACTTTGAGTGACGAACCAGCGTTGAGGGCGTCGGCTCCTCTGGGAGAGGCTCCCGCATCATAACAACAACAGAGCAGCTACCACGCTGTATTTTTGGTTCTAGAGCTGGTGTAAACAACTAGACACCCCATTTACGTGTCAACACCAGCAACACAACCTAACAACCATCGCAACAACGACTGTATCCAGCTTATCAAGTATTTTTTGTATCTGAATTATAATGTGCACATTTATTCATTTATAAAAATAAGTCGGTCATAATGTATGAACAACCCAAACCACATGTACATGTACCCCATTTTACAACCCTCACAGTTCATGCCATACCTGTAATTGATGTGTTTAGGGAACTTTGATTAATTCCTTGCATCCCATACAGGTAAATTGTGAGAGGAGCAGCAAGCTGTGCAGACAGTTGGTTCATACACATTACTATATGGTTGCCAAGCTTTGTCCTTCCCACAAGCCGCCATTATGTGGCACCAGGACGCACAGGGCCACACCCAATCTGAGGCTACACCTACAAGCCTTACCAGGCCCACACTACTGGCACAGCTAAGCCATTAATACTAGTATTAGTAGTCATAATTAGTAATTATTACTAGTAGATTAGACCATCATAGTGGTATATTATTATACTTAAAAGGTAAACAATTGGTAGTTTAAGAAGGAGCCATAACAAAGTGGTTTAGGCTACCAATTGTCCCTCCCAATAGTGTGTAAGAAGATTTCAGGCAGTTTACTAGTATATACAGTCCACTCAATTAATTCTTACTTACTAAGAAAAATAAATAAGACATAACTTTATTTTATTAAAGTCAATTTGAAAAAGAGAGATTAACTGCCTGGAGTTTTCCCACATTATTTGGTCCTTTGAACCTAGATATTATACATACATATAGTGCAATATTACCTACACACATTATAGCAGGAAGACACTGCTATATTTTTTGCATTTTTTCTAGCCTAACTTTTCAATCTCATAGCAAACAGAACTTACAACAAGAACTATTATTGTTCTGTCAGTACCAAAGGAACAATTGTGTTTTTTTAATTTCATTACAAGAGGTTGATAAGAGGCTACTTTACTTAAAAGTTACTTATAATTTTTTTTTGTAATTATTGCATTATTACTGCCATTACTGTAACATCTACTGCATGCCACATTATTAACAACTAATTCTTGCACAAGGGTAGAACATTTTAGGCTGGTGTTGTACAGCAACCTAGTGTAATTTATTGTGCTAACCTGGTGTAAGGGTAAGAATTTTACACTTGTCTAGAGTTGAACACATATTACAACCTAGCAAGTACATATTTTTATGCAGTATTTAAGACAACCCGAGTTGTGTTGTCAATATGATATCAATATAACTATAAGTATAATTTAACTATAATCATTTCACCTTTGAGTGTTAACCTGTGTCTCTGTACCAACCAAGAGTGATAATGAAGGGCTAACTTGCGAATTCCAGCATTGATACAGGTCTACCACTCAAATTATAGTGTGTATGATTATACAGTGTATATTTAAATAAATGATAAGTAGCTCTAGTTCGGAAACTAGTGGCTTTACTAATACAAGTGCCATAAATAGTCCTGACACTAGTCTACACGACTAACAAGTACTTCCAAGAT